GGTGCCAGACCAAAACATTTCTTTTATACCCAGGCTTTTAACAGAAGGGATCCCTTTGATTTAGTCCTTTTACCTGCCTGCTTCTAGCCTGAGGACTTTCTGGTGAATATCCTTTCAAGGGTGTTTTATGTTGTTTTAGGCCCTGGCTGTTTTTAATGGTTCTTTGTTATCCATAATCTCATGCTGTTGCTTTTGTTATTGGTATTATTGCCAAACTCTAGGAAGAACTTCCTGATGGTTAGAGCGGTTCCTCAGTGGAATAGGCTTCCTCGGGAGGTGGTGGGCTGGGTATGTTTAGCCTGGAGAGGAGATGACAGAGAGGTGGTAGGATAACCATCTTCAAGTATAGAGGATGGTGTAGAGTTGTTTTCTGTTGCCCCAGAAGGTTGGACCAGAACCAACAGGTTGAAATCAAATCAGAATTGTTTTCGGCTAAAGATTAGGAAGAACTTCCTGACAGTTAGAGTGGTTCCTCAGTGGAACAGGCTTCCTCGGGAGGTGGTGGGCTCTCCTTCTGTGGAGGTTTTCAGACAGAGGCTAGATGGCCCCATCTGACAGCAATGCGGATCCTGTGATCATGAGAAGGGAGGGCAGGAAGGGATGAGCCAGTGTTTAGTTGTCATGGCCCTTTCTTACACGCCCTGGGAAATGCTAATTGCCACTTTGGGGTCAGGAAACAATTTTTCTCCAGGCCACTTTGGCTGGAGATCCTGGAGGGTTGGGTTTTTTTGGTCATCTTCTGGGTGTGGAACAGTAAGCACTGCAGGTATGGAGGGGGAGGTATTTGTGAATTTCCTGCATTGTACAGGGGGTTGGACTAGATGACCCTGGAAGGTTCCTTCCAACGCTATGATTCTATGATTATTTGTATTGTTTTATTTTGTGAGTCAGTGCTCTCCCAAATACTTCTAACTCCTTCCACCTCTACTGGCCCTTTGGACTTTTGTTACAGTGCTCCTTTTAGAATATATACTTCATGCTGATGCTGGTCACTGGTCAGCTGGTATGAACACTTAAAATTAACGGTTTGGAGTTGAGTGGGAAGGCTCGTCCCTGTGTCCTAGGTTCTGAAGTCTGAAATGCATTTTTTTTAAAATTCCTCTCCTAATAAATGCTACGCAAGCTGTTCCAGTCTCTCTTTCTGAAAAACAACAGAATGCTTCCAAAGGCAGCAACCGTCCCACACGCCTTCACATGCACATCAAGCAAACTATCTGTTGTCCTTAATTTGTCTCATCATTAGTAGAAAACCAGCTTCTTTACAGCCTTAGTGTGAGCGTGGGTCTAAAGAAAGAGAGAGAGAATCTATTAAGGAGGGACTGCTTTCGCATGAAACAATGGCTTGGATCCCATGGAGCACTGCTGTGGATGGGGCTAAGGATAGGCATGAACCTGCTGATGAACTAAAGTTCATCACAAATTTCGGCTGGTTCGTGGTTCGCAAAGTGATGTTTGCAAACTGAAGAAGCACCATGAACGTCCACGAATTTTGGTGCAGTTTGTGGCGGTTTGTGAAGAGCAGAACCCCTTCATGAAAAACAGCTCAGCTGTTTGGTTTAAATGGCTCCAAGCCCTTTAAACCTTGCTTTCTGCTCCCCATGAAAAGTCACGGGGAACAGAAAGCGGAGGTTTCCAAACAGCTGAGCAGCAGGTTTAAATGGCTCCCAGCCATTTAAACCCTGCTTTCTGCTCTCTGCAAAAGGCTGAGGGGACCAGAAAGCGGGGTTTAAAAAGCTCAGAGCCTCAGCTGTTTGGAACCCCAGCTTTCTGCTCCTGGTGAAAAGCCGCATGGAGCAAAAAGCAGGGGTTTAAACTTCAAATGGCTTGTGAAGCGATATGAACCAGTTCAGTTCACGAACCGGCGTATAGGTTCGTGGTTCGGCTCATGGTTCATCCACAAACCATGAATCAAACTGAACCACAGAAATGTGGTTTGTGCCCACCCTTAGATGGGACTTCGTCTGGGGAGCATGGCTTTCTTGCCTCCCCCTTCCTGCTGCAGCCGGAAATTCTGCTTGTGGCAGACGAGGAGGGCATGGGGTGTAGTTTGGTCTGCATCAGGAAGGAGAAGGCCAGGCAATCATGTTCCATGGGTGGAAGTTCTTCCAGCCATGGAAACGCTCTGGTGGATCCAAGCCCATATGCAGTTGGGAGTACATGAACCACATATGAAGCTGCCTCATACAGAAGCAGACCCTCGGTCCATCAAAGTCAGTACTGTCTACTCGGACTGGCAGCAGCTTTCCAGGGTCTCAGGCAGAGAAAAGTCTTTCCCGTCACCTGGTCCTTTGGAGATGCTGGGGATTGAACCTGGGACCTTCTGCATGCTAAGCAGATGCTCTACCAATGAGCCAGAGCTCAACCAGCAGGAGCTCAAGCTTCTCTAGTAGGTCCTTGTTTGTTCCTCTACCATCACCAAACCTAACAACCTTGCTGTTGCTGCACATGACCATTTAATTTTATCCAGAGATGACGACGGGACGTGTGAGGCTTTGTGGTCTCTCCTTCAGCTCACTGAAACCTGGGTGTCACTCCTCTCCCACAAACGGGGACTGGGACAGAAGGCCTCTCTCGGAGGGGTCAACAATCACCATCCCTCCTTTCCATAGGGGTCAGTCCAATAGGTTCTAGAAGCCCTGTGGGGTGGGATCCACTCCTTTCCCCTTCACTGAGCGATATTACAAAATCCTTGCTCAAATGTTGGTCATATTAGGGCTAAATCAAATATGACCAGGGAATGTGTAATGGTGTATCATAGCCTGATCTTGTCAGATCTTAGAAGTTTAGCCTCAACCAGGGCCTGGCGGGACATGCCCCCAGTTGAGATCATGGCCCCATGGGACCTGTTACAGTTCCACAGGGCCTGTAAAATGAAGCTCTTCTGCCAGGCCTTTGGTTGAGGTGGTGGATTTCCTACCAACTCAGCCTCCACTGCCCATAGTAAGCCTATAGTGGCCTACTATTTTGCTAATGACTACCAGGAGCAGAGGTCGATTCGGGGGGGGGGATCGCAGTTCCCCCGGGTGAGGTGCAGGGGGCGGGGCACACGACGAAGCCCCGCCCCTTCTTCCGGCCGCCCCCTGCTTCCAGCCTCATTTTGTTGCAGAAGGAGGAAGAAGCACGAGGGTAAGTTGGCGTCCTCCCCCTCTGCCTGGCCGAGGCCACTCCAGGAGCTTCCCTGAGGTAGCTGTGTTAGTCTGTTGCTGCAAAATAGTCCAAGAGTTCAAATAGCACCTTTAAGACTAACAAATAGCACCTTTAAGACTAACCTTTAAGACTAAGACTAACTGAGTGGTGGGTGTAGCCTTATGACACACTTCCGGTGATGTCAGGAGGTGTAGCATATGCTAATGAGTTATGCTAATGATTTCCCCTAGCTCTTTTTCTACGAAACGACCCCTGACCAGGAGGCATATTGGATTGCTCTAGAGTAATGTATGTTTCTTAGCTGCCATCCCATTTTATTTAACTGTTTTTTAATTATATATTCATTGTATCTTATTCATGTTGTGAGCCACCCTGAGCCCACTGTGGGGGATATAAGTGCAACAAATGAATAAAATAAATAAGCAGAGTCGGTACTCGGATGGGGGACCACCAAGGAAGGCTCTGCAGAGGAAGGCCACAGCAATCCACCTCTGCTTCTCAGATGCTCAGCAGGATGGGTACTTGGACGGGAGACCACCGAGGAAGGCTCTGCAGAGGAAGGCCACAGCAAACCACCTCTGCTTCATCGCTTGCCTTGGAAACCCTCGGGGGTCTCCATGAGTCGCCTGTGACTCGACAGCCGTTCACACCCACAGATATGACTAGAGAGCAACGCTCCCTCTCAGCTGTGGAGTCCTGTGAGCAAAAGTTCAACTTTGTGAGCTGCTGGCATTAAAGTTGTGAGCCAGCGATTTGGCCACTGTATGAATCAGTTTGCTCTGGAGCTCTCCTTCCTGAGCGAAGGCAAAAATGTGTGAGCCGGAGGCTAAAAAACCTGCGAGTTAGCTCACACTAGCTCAGCTCGGAGGGAACACTGCTAGAGAGGTGTGTAGAGTGACTCCCAGTGGATTTTTGTTACGCTGCAGGAGAAAACCCGTTTCAGGGAGGTGATTTTGATCAGGAAAACAGCCTGTGTGGGGAGGCAAAACAGTCATCTCCTGCTGTTGTTCCAATCCGATCTGGAACCTCTTGTTAAATTAACGACAAGCACGTTGAGAACTCCCCCCATGCCTCTCACATACCATCAAGTTGGTTCATGTAGGGTGAGCACACAATTGCTAAGTCGGACATTAGAATGATGCTTTGGGGTATCTCGCCTTGCTTCAGAGTTCTAGAAGCTCTGCTCCGTGCAAGGTCTACCCCAAGGTTTGCCTGAAGCCTACAAGGATGACCTTTCCTTCTGGATTCTCTGCAAGGTTTAAATTTGGGTTTCCTTTTTAGGGGGAACATTTTATTGTCACCCAGTCTCTTGCTCAGTCCACTTGTGGGCTGTTATTCTTTTGTCCCCTTTATTTGACTTTGCCAAATCAATGTATTTAAGACAACAATAGCAATCCACTTTCACTGATGGAATCCCTTATCCTAAGATGCTTGATATTTTCATAGAATCATAGAAAGTTAAGAGTTGGAAGGGACCTTGCAGGTCATCTAGTCCAACCCCCTGCACTCTGCAGGAGCATAGCCGAAAGAGAGCCCTACAACATACCCGAAAGATGGTCGTCCAGCCTCCACTTGAAAACGTCCAGCGAAGGAGCATCCACCACCTCCCGAGGCAGTCTGTTCCACTGCTCAACCACTCTTACAGTTAGGAAGTCTCTCCTGATATTTAGCCGGTATCGACTCCCTTGTAATTTCCATCCATTAGATCTAGTCTTGCAATCCAGAGAATATAGTGGCCACGTTTCTGTGTAACAATCCCCATGGACGGTACTTTCTCCCAGTGGATGGGGAAATAACCACGCATAAGTAACCGAACAATCAATGAATGGATTAAAAGAAAGCCATCAAAAGTCTGAGGTCTATACTTTTTTAATATTTTTAAACTAGCTACAAAATGTCAATCACATCACAAACTGACAGGAGACGGAAGGAATTTCATATTACATGCATCAACTATACTTAATCTCACAATTTAATCTAGATTTCATTCATGTAAGGTTATTTTTTTTCTTTGTTTTTTTGTTAAAATTAACAACTCAGCTACTAAACATCGCAGTGATTTTGGTGTGCATAGCTCTAGGTAAGCAACGGATAACTCTACCGATAACAAACCACATAGGGAAAGAGAGAGAAAGAGAGAGAGAGAGAGAAGCTAGAAAGAGAGAGAGAACCTTATAAAAATTACATTTCTCTGCAACATTTCATATGATAGCCATTCCCCCCAAAAAAGACGGTCTTTGAAAGCGGCAGACAAACTCTATATATATATTACACCTATTTCTTATTTGTTGTTGCTTTTTAATTGTGTGTGTGTGTGTGTGTGCGTGTGTTGTCGTGGTTGTCCTTGACATCGTTTCAGCCAAACGTTTAATTTGCTGGCAATGGTTAAAGAGTGAGTACCAAATCCATCTCTGTTTGAAACCAAAATTAGAAAAAGAAGGAAAAAAGGAAGGGGACAAAATAAGAAATGAACATGGCTCATAACTATATATATTTATATTTATATATATATATAATATATATATATATATTGACAAGAAGAAATAACGTGGTACTACTGCAAACTTGCTGGTATAATAGTCCTGACAGTGTCCCGATCCGGAGCATGCGCATTCTTAGTACTTTTCATTTGTCATCGTTGATGTTGTTACTGCCATGGAAAGGTCTCACTTAAGTTAAGGAGTCTAAGAAGTCTATTTTCTCATGCAATAAATGCATAAATCACATCACTTGTAATTTTTTTTGTTTTTGTTTTAGTGCAATGCTTGTTATAAGTTATATAATTCCACATTGTCTAATCATGAACTCATAACAACAGATGACAGCGATGGAGAGTAACCGAGAGAACACCAAATCCTTAAGTGCTTTTTTTTAAACAACGTGACACTCAAATAAAGGACTTCTGGTAGCAGGAGCTCTGTGGAATGTGAACAGTTTTACAAGAACAATACTGTAGAGTTCAAAGTTTAACAGCACGTTAAGCATTCCTACATTTTTTGTCATTCGGCAAAACATCATGAATTAGTTTATTTTTTTAAAAAAGCAACCCATCGACTGAAAAACAAAATAAAGGGTGGGTGGGTGTGGTGAGGAACACCCAGACAGATGGAAAGAAAGGGGGGGGGGAATAAATCCCAACAGACAAACGTCATCGTGAGCGATAAGCCATCAAATCAGTTAACTATATACAACCCTTTGGAACGAAAAGAGATCTGGGAAAAATAAAAATAATTTACAAGTATCATTTTTGGAAAGCCGACAACCTACACAGGACAACATTTACAACGTGGTGGGCGGGCGGAGGAAGGACTGATATGTGCCTGTGTGCAAACCTAGTCGGTAAATACCATGATGAAAGCGGGAGGGGTGGGCTGCCTGTGGGGGACAGGGGGGGTCCGGAGGCGCGGTCCCTGGCGGGGTTTAGCCGCTGCCCAGCATCTTTGTGGCACGTTGGTTGGCCTCATCGATCCTGTTTTTGTTGGAAACAGCCTGGACAGAGAAAAAAGGGAGAGTGGGGAATCAGTCTCAGAAGGCGAGGCAGGAGAACCAGAGCGATCCAAACACCCGTTCTTCTCGGGCGTCTGGTATTCCAGTCTACATTTTGCGACGCTGCCAACACCCAGCCCCAGAAGCCCGGTCTTCTTTGCGGAGCACCACCAATGCATTAGGAATCGGAGGCGCTTTCGTTTTGCTTTCCAGACTTTCATCTGGTTGAATTTCCTTCTGTTCACTCCAGTCTGTGTCTGGCCCCCTCCTATATGGATGCTCAGTGGCACTAGAGAGCCAGGGTGGTATAGCGGTTAAGAGCGGCTGACTCTAATCTGAAGAACCGAGTTTGAGTCCCCACTCCTCCACACGCCGCCAGCTGGGTGACCTTGGGTCAGTTACAAGTTTTCTCAGAGCTGTTCTCTCAAGAGCAGTTTCTCTCAGAGCTCTCTCAGCCCTACCTACCTCCCAGGGTGTCTGTGGTTTTGGGGAGGGAAAGGGATTGTAAGCCGCTCTGAGACTCCTTTGGGTAGTGAAGGGCGGGGTATAAATCCAATCTCTTCTTCTTCTAGTGGCCATTAAAACAGAGTCCAAAAAGAGATTCTAGTGTGCATCACTGTGCCTGTAATTGCCACTGTTATGATCATGTGCTCATGAGCAATGCTCCCTCTAAGCTGTGGAGTCTTGTGAGCAAAAATTCTACCTTGTGAGCTCCCGGCATTAACGTTGTGAGTAAGCGATTTGGCTATTGCATAAATTAGTTTGCTCTGGAGCCATTTTTCCTGAGCTAAAAGAAAAATGTATGAGCCAGAGGCTAAAAATCTGTGAGCTAGCTCACACTAACTCAGCTTAGAGGGAACACTGCTCCTTCGCTCCTTCGCTCCTTCGTTGATTGGCTTCATTTATACTTTGCCTTTTCTCCCCAAGAGGGACCCAAGACCAGCTTGCCATTGTCTTTTGCTCCTCCATTTCATCTTCACAGCGTCCCTGCAAGGTCGGCTGGGCTGACTGTGTGTGAGTGGCCCACAGTCACCCAGCCGGCTTCCATGGCAGGGTGGGGGTTGGAACCTGGGTCTCTCAGGTCCTGCTCCAACATTATAACTCTTAAATGCTGGACCACATTAGCTCTCATCTGTGCTGTTTCATCGACGCGCATGACAGTTGGGGCAAGCGGGAAGAGATGAAGACAAAGTGCAGGAAATGCACGCCACAGCAAATGATGCAGGCGCTCACTTTGGAGTCAATTTTATGGATCCTGTGTGGTTGCGTCAATGAGCCCATGTGGTACAGTGGTCAAGCGAGCTGGACTAGCGGCCTGGGAGAGCCGGGTTCCAATCCCCGCTTGTGTCATGGAAGCTTCTGGGGGGACCTTGGGCCGGTCACGTTCCCTCAGCCTGGCCTACCTCACAAGGTGGTTGTGAGGATGAAATGGAGCACTGGAGAACGACGCAAACCACTCCGGGTCCCCCACTGGGGAGAAAGGGTTAGGGTGCAAATGAAGTAAATGGACAAACCAGAAGGAAGGCGCTGTGGAGCAAGTGACTGGACTCTCTGTGCCACCAGACTACGACTGGGCTTGCCTCAGCCGATCCTCAACTATCCCATGGAAGCAACGAGGATGAGTTGTGGGGGCCCTTCTGAGGGAACCCCTAGAACACTTCCCTTGTTGGATTCATACCCCATGGCCCTTCACTACCCGGAAGAGTCTCAGAGCGGCTCACAAACTCCTTTCCCTTTCCCTCCCCACAACAGAAAGGCACCCTGGGAGGGAGGCGGGGCTGAGAGAGCCCTTTTTGAGGACTGCTCATGAGAGAACAGCTCTGAGACAACTTGTGACTGACCCAAGGTCACCCAGCTGGCTGTATGTGGAGAAGGAGTGGGGAATCAAACCCGGTTCTCCCAGATCAGAGTCCACACACTTAACCACGACATCAAACTGGCTCTCAGCCTGCCCACGGGCAGAGAACTAGACTGTCATGGAGAGGTCTAGATTACATCCTTTCTCCCTGGTGTCTGAATGTCTTATATGGCAAAGATGTAGTTGTGTGAGTCCTCACCCACAGTCTGAAGTGGTACAGTCCAGACGTAGGCTGATCACTTCCATAAAGATCAACATTAGGGTTGCCAGACTTCAGGTGGGTACCAGGACAGGTGTTGGTGGTCACCAGGGCACCCACACTCACCACACTGGTGACCCCCGGAATACTTGGACCCCGAGACATGCAAATTTCAGAGCCTGAAATGCATCTGCAGGTGTATAATGGATTGTTTTAGAACATGCTTTGAGTAATTTTTTTTTTTAAATTAACCGTATGCATACTTTGTCAGGTAGCTGCGAGCACCTCCACGTTTCCCCCCAGGCCTTGTACATTCTAGCAGCTGATGCAGCATCTTGGAAACAGGAACGGAGTGCAAAGGATGCTGGGAAACAGAGATGGCTGGCAGATCAGCCCTTACCTTCTCCATGATCCTGTCGATTTGGCGGTTCTGTGTGTCAATCTCATTGCCCATATCCAGGGCCATGTGACGGAGATTTCCAATCATGCCACCAACTTGTTCCAGGTTTTCATCCATCTCGCCTTCCCGGGCATCGTTTGTTACCCTGCAGTTAAATCAAGAGCAAAGCTAAGCTAATCCATATCATGGGGAGCAGCTTCTCCACTTCTTGTTGATCCTCTGGGCAGTCTTGGAATTCTGAGACCAGGCAGTGGGACATAACAAAATGGCTGACCTGGGCAGGGGAACCTGTCACAAAATGGCTACCACAGGGGCTGGGTCCAGTCACAAAACACTATAACAAAATAGCTGACTTGGGTGGGGGAACCTATCACAAAATGGCTGCCACAGGGGCTGGGTCCAGTCACAAAACACTATAAAAAAATGGCTGACTTGGACGGGGGAACCTATCACAAAATGGCTGCCACAGGGGCTGGGTCCAGTCACAAAACACTATAAAAAATGGCTGACTTGGACGGGGGAACCTATCACAAAATGGCTACTACAGGGGCTGGGTTCAGTCACAAAACACCATAACAAAATGGCTGACTTGGGCGGGGAAACCTATCACAAAATAAATGGCTACCACAGGGGCTGGGTCCAGTCACAAAACACTATAACAAAATGGCTGACTTGGGTGGGGGAACCTATCACAAAATGGCTACCACAGGGGCTGGATTGTGTCACAAAACACTATAACAAAATGGCTGACTTGGGCGGGGAAACCTATCACAAAATAAATGGCTACCACAGGGGCTGGGTCCAGTCACAAAACACTAGGTGGTTCGACAACAGGTTAAGAAGTTGCAGGCCAGGCTGGTTCTGGATGGGTGATGTGCCCTGGAGTCTTCTGAAACCCCACCTTTGAGGGAAAGCTCTTTGCTCCAGGAAGGAGATGTTCTGAGGAACAAGCAATGTGATCTAGGAGATACACTGGCAGGGAGCCCAGTGCTCACAGGCACCACGCTGGGCTTCATCAATCCAGGCCGCTGGGTTTGTCTAGCCATGTAAAAGACCACCCTTGCTTGCTTGCTTGTCGCATGATCATTTCAGAGGGTAGCCAAGTTTGTCTGCAGGAGAAGAACTAGATATGGGTCCGGTCCAGGCCCATACCTATACTGGGGCACCTTGGGACTATGCCCCCTGACTTACTGGCGAGGCCCCACAACTTCCCATTCTGTCCAGTGGCTGCGGGGAAGGAGCCGGGTATTCCTGTGCAGCTGTCCGGTACAAGGTTCCAGTTTAAATTACCTTTATTTTGATTAGCCAGTGCCCCCTAAGAAATTTTAATGCCCCCTGACTAAAAAAGATCCTGGCTACGGGCCCAATCCACTCGCACCTTAGAGACCCATAAGATTTTTGGGGTAGAAGCTTTTGAGAGTCAAAACTCCCTCTGCTTGGCAAAGGGAGTTTCGACTCTCGAAAGCTGACACTTCTATAAAGAACCTTCTATATCTCCAAGTCTTGACTGGGCCCAAATCTAGCTTGGCAAATGATGGACCAGTGCTGACTGGCCACCACGGCATTCCATGGGCACAGTCTCCTTTGTGGTGACCGATGTTCTCTGACATATTATTTGCTATTCTTTATGGTCCTGTGGGTCTCCTTTAAAAAAAGAAAGAAAGTGATGTGGAGGCTTAGGCAGTGGAAAACTACCAAGCACCAGTGCTCCCTCTAATCTGTGGAGTCCTGTGAGCAAAAATTCTACTTTGTGAGCTACTGGAATTGAAGCTGTGAATGAGCTGCAAAATCAGTTTGCTTTAGGGCCCTCCTTCCTGAGCTCAGACAAGAATGTGTGAGCCGGAGGCTGAAAAAACTGTGAGCTAGCTCACACTAACTCAGCCTAGAGGGAACACTGCCAAACACCATAATCTTGTCAACCTCATGTGGATAAGCCACTAGGGACCTTAACTGTTTGGCTGCCGAATTGGAACTTTGTCCCTGCTGGAAAGCACAGGCAGATCTAGAACCCATCTCCACCACCAACATATTGGGGCTCCTGTCCTTCCATAAAATAGCCAATGAGCCGCAGGTTCCTGCACACTTATTGCTCCCACTGTGCTTGCAAGGGGGCACCCCACAAGTTTGCAGTATGGAGCCATGTGCCCTGCAAGGTTAGGGCAGGGTATAATAGTCTCCCAGTTTTCCAATGAGATGCTGGGGGAGTCCCCGTTTTTACATGTGCAAATCTCACATCTTGGGCCCACGGTGTGGCTTCTTGTTCTGAGCCATCTGGCTACCCTTTTTAGAACCCCAAGGAAGTAAAGGTTGGGGAGAGTGAGGAAAAGAAAAGCAGGAAAAGGTTGGCGCTGGATTCAGAAAAAATGGGTTTCTGGTCCCACATTCGGAGAAGGGAGCCTTGGTTACCCTCCGGTTACCCTCATTTTGTCTGCAGAGCCTGATCTTTTCACAAGCAGATCTTTTCACAAGTGCTGTACTGGGCATAGAGCAGGGGTCACTTGGGGAGTGGGGGAGGGGGGAAGCTCTGAATGTCTGGCCTTGTGCAGGGGGTTGGACTAGATGACCTTAGAGGTCCCTTCCAGCTCTGTGTTTCTACGTCGGGTGCCGTTTGTCTGCAGGCCTGAAGAGCCATGCCCCCGTTGGTGTGGCACATCCATGGAAATTTTTACAACAGTTGGACTAATTAACTTGGCCCCGCCACCTAGGAATAAACAGCCACAGAAGGACACAGAGACACCACAGGGACCATATGGAGAGGTTCTAAATATGTCAGCGACAGGAAAGGAGGGGAGAAAGACGGGGTGGAAATAGTCCTCACCTGCGGATAAAGCCACCGCTGATAGCCATCTGTTCTCGCTCGTCCACCACGCGGGCTGGCTGGCTGGCCACCACGCCATCTTGGTTGTTGCCCCAAGCTTTTTTATAAGCATCGCTTGATTTAAGCCTATGCAAGAAGAGAAGGTGAGTCACCACGCACGAGGGGGGGGGAGACAACCGCAAACAAAGACGGACCGTGATTTCTTCAAGCTCAGAGCTGAGTCAAGCAAATGAGTGTTTTGAGAAAGGGGGCATTCTGGTATACCGATATATCATAAACCTGAATAATAAAATCTTTTCTCTTTTCTTTTCTTTTATTTTCTTTTTTTTTTTTGCTGCCACAACTTAGATTTTTTTATTTCCAATGGAGCCAATGGCCATTGTCAAGTTAGCAAAAATAATTTTCCCCCTGATGGCTGGCTTTTAAGAAAAAAAAATTAAAAGAAGGAAAAAAACACACAAAACTAACCAGAACATTCACCTGTATTTCATGACACGGGTAACGTTTGGACACAGAACACAGAGAACGGACTGCCAAGACAGACGTGGACACGGAACCACCAAGGGTAGTGTGTACATCACATCACAGCAACACACCGTCTTTTTGATTTTTGTAAAAACAAAAAAAGCACAAAAAGATCCGGATAAATTTCCGTGACGGGGCCACGCCCCAGGTTCTTTCCACGAATGTGTGGCACAAAGGTAACGCCCAATGTAATATCCGATCCCTGGCTGGTTGGGAGTTAGAGCAATTTGGCGGGATACTTGAATAATATATCGGTACTTAGCCATAGTTAACCATACATCCAGAGTTGATGTACAAACCTTTGTCCACAGAGACAAAAAGTAAAATTAGGCCATAGTGGGATGAGTGCAGGAAAAAGGAAAGGGGGGGGGGAGAGAAAAAAGAAATACAAGCTTGTGTAGCAGTTTAGCATCAGAAAGGGAAATTCCTCTAAATTTTCTTCATGCGCCAGCTACAGGCATGAAAAAAGAAGTGAAGCATTCTCAAGAAAGCATAGCTGCCCCAGTGCTGTGACATTCTTTCAGTGCGCTAGCGGAAACAGCCTATACGAGTGAGCAGGCGCAGGCAAAAATGGATCATCGTCGGCTACATTGAGAATCCCAAATGTTGGGCCTGGGGAAAGTGTCTCGGAAAGAGGCTGTCTTTCATCCAAATTGTGCAACGTTTTGGGGGAGCCATCTTTGAGAGAAATTAAAATCCAGGCATACCAGCAGTGACACTTCATATTAATAGGCGCAGCATACCTAGAGGGTGGTTTTAGAACTGAAACTATCTGAGATTACAAACTGGACCTGACAGAAGACAGGGATGCCAGCCTCCAGGTGGGGCCTGGGGACCCCCCGGAATTAACAGCTCCTTTCCAGACTGCAGAGATCAGTTCCCCGGGAGAAAATGGCTGCTTCGGAGGGTGGACTCTGAATGGCATTGTGCCCCAGTGAGGTCCCTGGCCTCCCCGGGCTCCATCCACAACTCTCCAGGAATTTGCCAACCTTGATCGGGCAACCCTACCACCGCATCCCCCGTTGGTGGCCGGGGGGAACCTGGCAACCCTACGTAACCAAGGAATGAACTTGGTTTCAGGAAGTCTCTTGAGATTAAAACAGAAACAACTACTATTAACCAGGTTTCTTTGGCATGCACAGATTAGTGTATAAAAACGAGCTCTCCAGACTGTGAGGCAGACATGAATTTCTTGCGGGAATGAGAAAAAGAGGAAGTCTGAAATGTTACTTATGACTATGTCTGCCTTTCCCTAAAGGCTTTGCAATCGGAAAAGGGCCCGCTCTGGCCATGATTAAATGTCAGTTGACCAAAGGTATTAAACAGACGACATTTCAGAACGTGGTTTTAGAAATGTTGTTACCTGCCCTGAACCTTGTGAGACCGAGTGCGCTAACTGATTATCGCTGCAGTTCTAAGCAAGCAGCGTGTTCCAGTTAAACACAATGGGGCTTATTCTTGAGTAAATATGCTTAGGATTTACATTGTGTGGCGGCCATTTTGAGCCTGCCGGTTTGGAAGGAAGGCCTAGTGAACAAACACGGCAGACCGGCCTGTCAGCAGGGTTTGCTCCGCAGTAAACACACAAGTTTCAAGTTGCACATGGGATTAATCAGATAAGTAGCTCTGGATTTTATTGCTAGTTGGACTTTTAGACAAAGGGTGGAATCAGCTGACAGGTTTTTTTAATCTAGTGCCATCTGTGCAACAGTCAGATATTTGAAACTTCCTTTAGACATTGGGTTGGGTCCTGTGGGAAAATGGTGGACAGAGTGCTGGACTTCAGCTGAAGAGATCTGGGTTCAAACCCCCCCCCCCCATCCAGCCATAAAACTCTCTGGCTAACCTTCAGCCACACACTCTGTCTTCCAACCTATTTTATCAGGATGCTCTGAGGGGAAAAAATGGAGGGATTCTACATGATGTGTTGAGCTCCTCGGGAGAAGAGTGAGATAAAAATACCAGAGAACATGATTTTTCTTTCTTCATGCTGCCAAAGACAGTATTTTTTGCACACCGTTCAAGTTAATGGGGAATCTGGCTGCTTGGAAAACATAGCTTCAGGAGGACCTGAATTTTTAAAAAATGTTATGCTCATTTTGCTGGAATGAGCGACTCAGAAGTCCTGGACACTGGGGGCTTGAAGTGCGCATAGATGTTCTCTCCTTGAATGGGAGGCCTCCCTTTCTCTTAACCTGGGAGCTGCCCTCTCACCCCTCCTCTCCCTCTAGCTTTGTCCTCTCCCTCTCTTCACATGGCTTTCCATGGAGACAAGTGTCTCTGCAGGTCTCTTGAGGAGATACAATGCCTTCATACTTCCACACACACGATGCTGGACAAGCTGGCTATTTGTGATGGAGAAATTACTCTTTAGGGAAATGCAAAATTTATTCAGGTGTACACATTTTAAAACTTAGACTCATTAAAAATATACCATTCAGACATAAAAAACTTCTCAACATTCATGCATAGTTTAGCCAATTAAAGTCCACCAATAATTCTGGTATCACAAACTTGCGTGAGTTGAATGTATGTCACTCCATCCTGTACAAATTTTGGCTAAACTGGAGGCCCATCTTATAGAATAATAATAAACAAATACAGAAGTATTTAGGAAACAACATCTGGCCTTCTCCTGATGTAAATTTTTTTTTGAATGTATGTCAAATTTGTAATTGGAATTGTGACCACTGAGGAAGGCCCTTTGAGGGGCCGAAACGCGTTTGGTTCAGTTGCACAGCACTAACCCATCTATGTATGAATGTTGAGAAGTTTTTTATGTCTGAATGGTATATTTTTAATGAGTCTAAGTTTTAAAATGTGTACACCTGAATAAATTTTGCATTTTCATAATATTTAGAGTCAGCTTAACCCTTGTGGATCCATAGCAACTTTTTGGGTTGAGTTTTCTTCCCCCCCCCCTTTTCCCCCCTTCTCCCTTCCCTTCCTTTTTGTTGAAATTACTCTTTAGATCAGTCTTCTCTTTCTCTTCTTTTGACTGCAACCTGAATGTGAACTGGATCTACCTGAATAAACATAAGTCTACTTCTTGGGAGATTTATTTACTACACTCAGTATCACACATCCACGACTGGGTATCTCTCTGCTATATTAACAAAATCTCCCAATACATTTATCTCTGTTCAAGTGTAACAGAAAACCACAGTTTCAAAATGATATGCCTGGTTTTATGACAGAAGCCTGTTGTGACCATAAATGCAAGTGGGAACATGAATAACTGGAGCCATGGTCCGATTCCATTCAAACTGGAGGACGGTCTTTGATTCCTGGCTTATTTTTCGGAAGAGAAGTTTTTAAAGGCTTCTTTCTGAAGCAACCTGGCATGATTTCCACAACCCCTAACTTTATCGGCATCCACACTGTATTGCCAGCTTGTATACACAACTCTCTTCTGATCACGAGCTGGGGTGTTGGTTAGGACACTCAACTGGAAAAGTCTCACAGGGTTGTGTTTTCAGTCAGGAGATGCCATGACGGTACTGTGCTATCAATACATTTGGAATGATGGGTTCCTGGTGCCCGGGCACGCAGAAGAACCATCTCTCAAGCGTGGCTTTCAGTGGCTCCCTGTGACAGATGTCATCAAGGTCATGTGGAGCCATCTTGATGAAGAAGAAGAGGAGAAGAAGAAGAGATTGGATTTATATCCTGCCATTCACTAGCCAAAGGAGTCTCAGAGCAGCTTACAAGCTCCTTTCCCTTCCCCTCCCCACACACAGACACCCTGCGAGGTAGGTGGGGCTGAGAGAGCTTCCGACAGAAACTACTCTTTTTTCAAGAACAGCTCTTATTAGAGCTACGGCTTGCCCAAGGTCATCAACTCCAAGTTGGGGAATACCTGGAGGTTCTGGGGGTGGAGCCTGAGGAGGGCGGGGCTTGGGGAGGGGAGGGACTTCCGTGGGGGCCCAATGCCATAGAGTCTGCCTTCCAAAGCGGCCATTTTCCCCAGGGGAACTGATCGTTATTGTCTGCAAATCCCAGGAGATCTCTGGCACCACTCCTAAATACCCTTTCAAGGAGTGGCTTCCGCATTATGGGACCACAAAGCCAAGGCCAAACTGCATTCTCCTAGGTCAGGTTTAAACGTGATTGAAAATAAAAGTGCAATCAAGCTCAATGCACTTTGGCGCTTAGCCCCCAATGCTTCTGTGCTGTGCGAAGGGCATCGTGAACGGGGATGCGACCCAGGTTCAGAGCAATCTCCTAGGTTTGCAATTGTCCCGACTGCCTCGTATCTCTCAGGATGGGATTACTTTAAAGGATGGGATCGGTCTTACAGTAAATCCATCCAGTGTTCCCTCTAAGCTGCGTTAGTGTGAGCCAGCTCACAGTTTTCTTAGCCTCCGGCTCACACATTTTTGCCTCAGCTCAGGAAGGAGGGCTCCAGAGCAAGCTAATTTATGCAGTAGCCAAATCGCGGACTCACGACTTTAATGCCAGTAGCTCACAAAGTAGGATTTTTGCTCACAAGACTTCACAGCTTAGAGGGAACATTGAATCCATCGTCCAAGATATGTATACTTTTCACCAGGCCCATAGCCTGGATATTGTGTCTTGTGGGGCAAAAGATTTTCTGGCGGGGCTGCAATTATTTGCCATAATGAAGGGAGTGGGTGGGGCCCCCCTCTCCCTCCCCTCCTGCAAGTTTTAAAGGGCCCTTCAGCTGATCAGCAGGGAGCACGTGGTTGCCAATCAGCTGGAAGACCCTTTAAAACTTGCAGGATGGGAGAGAAAGGGGCGCATGCCTACCCCCCGCTTCTTCTCAAAAGCATTTAAAGGATCCCATTTGGGAAGAAGCAGGGGCGGAGTTAAGGAAGGGGCTTGGCCCTTTAAGGAAGGGGCGGCGCCCTCAATAGCCCCGCCATAGCTACGGGCCAGTTTTCCACCAACGCTCTGCCTACGTGTGAAAGGGCAGCCTGAGAGCTGGGTGGGCAGGCTGTCCATCCAGAGGGTCCAGATGAGCAGACGAAGTCTCCACCGTAAGGCTGGGCTAATGAACAAAACGGGACATGTGTCGTGGACCTATGCACATACACACATGGATGCCATTTTGGGTTGCGTCCTTCTAAATGCATTTATAAGTCATTCCTCCATGCAGTCACTTAACGCATGCGAAAAGCTGCTGCCCATCAAAAATAAAAAAGAGAGAGCCTCCTCTTTCAAGTCTACATTCTCGTTTCGAAGTCCACACGTCACATCGCTATGCTGCATTTTCATCGCATGCAACCAAAGCCGGCACATTTCAACATTTCTGCGTGGTGTACGCTCCGTCTACTTGGGAAGCGGCAGTTCACAAAATGGATCCAGTTTTCCTGACCGTTTTTTTTTTTAAATTCCCTAGAGCAAGCTTTCTGTTTGCTCATAGCTTGTTGTCAAAGAACCAGAAGCAACAGCTTCTCTCCACGTCTTTGGTGAGGACAACGTCTACCGAGAGAGGCACGGGTCGTAATCACCAACAAATTTCTGTTCCAAATGATCTCTCGTTGGAATTTTAAGCCATCAAGTCACGGTTAACCAAGTAACTCCCTTTAAGGCTCTTCAGGAAAATATATCCTGATAGTACTGTAATTTTCAAAGATCAAGTGATTTGGGCTATCATGTAGTACACGCTCTGTAAAATGTTGAAATATTCATCATTCCAGTGTTCACAGTGGACGTTTCACTGTGGTATGCCTGATTTTAATGCATCTACAGTAATCCCGCTGAGTGGTCTACACCAGCAGTTCCCAAACAATCAACCCACAAGCCACCGCTGACCTTGGAGGCGACAGCAAGCGGTTCATAGTGGAACCGCAAGATCCCAGCCTCACGTGGTTCGCAAGAGTGCCCCGCTGCGGAGGGAAAGTGAAGGGTCTGCACGCATGCACCGCCACTCCCCCTCCTCTGCGGGGACTGATGCGCCACACGCTCCCGTGTCAGCATTCCCATTTCCAAACGACACCAGTTCTTAACCGAGGCACAAACGACAAGACAGATTGCGGCCACCGTGGTGGCTCCTCTGGGGTTGGGAATCTGAACGCTGACAGTTCGGAGGAGAGGGTGGACTGGGAGGAATTTGAAAGGCCAGGCAAGAGTGGTTTGTCGGTCCTTGGGAACCTCTGGTCTACACTATGAGATGAATGCATTGGAACCGGAAGTGTTCTCTCTGCATGCCACATGCTCATCCTGCCCAGGAGCCTTAAGCAAGGATGAGCGTCACAAGGCCCTGCGCTCCAGGTCAGCCTTGGGTGCTCCAGAGATCAGGCAGGCAGGCAGGCAGCACCTACTTGTTACAAGGACAGGCACAAAGACCACAGAATTTTCCTAGGTCCGTCAAATTCTTTTCTGCTTCCTTCATGTCCTTATTGATTTGGTCCATTCCCTCTTCGATGCGTTCCAGTTGTTCTGATTAAACACCAAGTATTTTATCCCCACAGTATGAAGCGGATGGAAAGGGACAAAGGAAAAAAAAAAGACAAAAAGAAATAAAACTTGAGACATTCACTCATGACAAAGAACTGGACATTTACAGAGCAGAGCTGGTACCCAGTACCTACTTGTTACAAGGACATATGAAAAAGCCGCAGCATTTCCCTAAATCTTTTAAATTTTTCTCGGCCTCCTTCATGTCTTGGTTGATATGGTTCATGCCTTCTTCGACACGATCGAGTTGTTCTGGTCAGGACAAAGGGATGACAGGGTGGAATGAATTGCAGCTTTGTCAGTAGCTGTTGCCTTGTCTTTGACAGAATGTGAGAAGAAGGAGGCGGATGGAGAAACAGAATTATGACGCTGTTTCAATGCGCTAATCGCAGCCAATGCATTGAAGCAATAATGGAAGCAAACCTAGAGGCTGGGCAACGACGACCTTGATGAATATGGTAAAGCACGGACACATTCACAGACGCGCCGTGGAATGAGCTGAACTCTGTTAATTGGAACAAAAATGTAAACGTGGAGGAAGAAAGAGCTGCCACGAAATCCCTCCGAGATGAGAAAACGGAATGCAACACATCCAGCTACTAAAACATCAAAGAAAAGATATGGAGTTATTACCTTCTATTTATGTACATTGATAAAAGGTTTCAATGGATTCCTTCCATGGGAAAATATCTACAGTGCTACCACTTAACAAATGTCTTTGACGATGGTGAAGGGTGTGATTGGCTTGATTTGAGAGTTGGTGGGAAAGTTAACAGTTAGCAATGGTATTGAGAATGGATATGAGTTCGTTGAGTTAAGATCCATGTCCAGATACAAACTTTTCTCAAAGACTGAGGCTCTTCAGATCTGAATTTTTGGCCGTGATCCATCTCTAAAGAAGAGAAGACCATGGGTCTTATATCTCGGTCAGTGACATCGTCATAAACCAGGAATAACCCCAGTGGAGTAAAAGGAATGCCATAGGTCACAGGACCCGATTCAATGGCCAAGAAAGGCAAAGAGAGACTGAGACAAACTTTAAGCCCTAAGGTTTAGAGGGTTTTTGCACCTCTGCAACTGAGTGCCACATGCTGTTTTCCTGATGCATCACTAGCCACATAGTGGCACATATGATCTTCCCCGTGGCTTCTGGAACATCACTGGGTGACTGTAATTCCTTTTACTTTGATGGAGTTATACCTGGACTGCATCATTACAGGGTAACATAAAGATTAAGTGCGCCACAGTGGGTTCATGTGTAGATAACAAGGAACACCAATGGTCTTGTGTCTGCTCCACCTAGGACTAATTGTGGGGCATATTTTCATAAGCGGTTGTGGGAAATTTCATGTTCCGGGGTTTTGGGTTGTTGTTGTTGGGTTTTTTTGCAAAAATTATGTCCAATAGCCCAAAGCAGCCGCTAGCTTGCACCTTCTCAGGGGCTTCGCATGACTGTAGTCCCGTTTCACTTCATTGGCATACACAGCAGCTTCCCCCTCCATTTAACCTTTCAAACACAGAACTGGTGGCTAAGAAGGAAAGGGACGTTTGAATCAAAGGGGGAAAGACTAATCCCAGCAACACAGGGGAAAGGAAAAAAGAAAGAAGAAATGTTAGTCTCAAAGCATGTTCTGTACTCATTTCCTGCACGGGAACCAAAAGAACGCAGACCCCCCTCTCCTGTAAAATGAGAAGAAGAAAATGGCACAAGTCACAAACGTGAAAGGAGTCCAGTCCTTGGAATTAAAGGGAGAGTTTGGAGAGAAAAGGGCGTCAGTATGGATTAGAACTGTTCCGTGTCTTTAGGAAGGGCTCCCCCCGTATCTCTGTATGGAAAGTGATGGATAAGCAGGAGTGTCAGAGAAATTGGTGGTGTAGGGAGCGATGGGTCTCACGGACAAGAAGGGTGCGTGGTTGGGAGAAAGATTTTTCTGGGTGCCATATTTGGGTGGGATCAGCAGGCGTGGATAAGATGGGGGGGTCCTTGGAGTTATTGATAAAAGCTTATCTTTAGCTTTGATTGCAAATGTTTTGTGCACTCTGAATTCTTGGACAGCAAGCCAACTCTCTGGCTTCTTAGCGTGTCCTAAGCCACAACTACACAGGAAGACAATAATCTTGGAAGTGTAGAAAAGAGCCAGAGTCCAGGAGCTCCTTAAAGACTAACAAAATATGTGGCAGGATATGAGCCTTCATGAGTCACTGCTCACTTCTGAAGATATCTGAAGAAGTGACTGCAGTGACTCACGAGAGCTCCTCCCCCTACCACAGATTGTGTTAGTCTCTCAGGTGCTCCTGGACTCTGGCTCTTTTCTCCTGCTGCAGACAGACTAACACGGCCACCCAACTTGATCTATCTGAAGAAGTGGGCAGGGACTCAGGAAAGCTCCTCCCCTGCCACAAAGTGTGTTAGTCTTTCAGGTGCTCCTGGACTCTTGCTCTTTTCTCCTGCTGCAGACAGACTAACATGCCCATCTTGGATCTATCTGAAGAAGTGAGCCGTGACCAATGTTCCCTCTAAGCTGAGTTAATGTGAGCTAGCTCACAGTTTTTTAGCCTCCGGCTCATACGTTTTTGTCTTCGCTCAGGAAGGATGGCTCCAGAGCCAACTAATTTATGCAGTAGCCAAATCGCTCGCTCACAACTTTAATGCCAGTAGCTCACAAAGTAGAATTTTTGCCCACAAGACTCCACAGCTTAGTGGGAACATTGGCCGTGACTCACGAAATCTCTTCCCCTGCCGCAAATTGTGTTAGTCTTTCAGGTGCTGCTGGACTCTGGCTCTTTTCTGCTGCTACAGACAGACTAACAGGGCCACCCATCTTGGAACTGGTAAATTTAATCTACACGAAAGAGGCAGGAAAATAGTGGAGCTGCCCTGCTATTAAGTGAAGTACTTGTCACATGATAAAAACGATGTGGGCCTCCCTATCAAGAGGCAGAAACCTCTACGTACCAGTGCTAGGACAGACCCTCAGAAGACGCCTGCCCTGCCTGTCAGCCTTCTTGGGCAAATGGGTGACCCCCGTGTGAAAGAGGATGCTGGACCAGATAGACCTCCCAGGCCCTCTCGGGTGTTCTAACCACAGGTGAGTGGGCCTGGATGAATCCTGATGCCTGGCACAAGAGCATTTACCACAACTTGAGCATGCCTATTGTTGGACATTCTATTCAGATGTTGGCCAATCTTGGGTGGCAGGACAGATGCAGATGCTCTTGAAGAAGGAGCCTCTGGCCTATGAGGCCTAACGTCCAGGTTGGTGTTTCCCTGGATCTGCCCTTTCATGCTGTCTGGAAACTCGGTTAACGGTTTGCAGGTGGAACTTGGCCAGAGTGAGCAGAGTTTATTTATTTATTTATTTATATTTATTAATTAAATTTATACCCCGCCCTCCCCCGTAGGGCTCAGTTGGGTGGGAGAGGTGGACGAAGCAAATGAACAACACCTCTCCCGTGAGACCCGCATCGGGACCCAATCCACTTCTCATCTGTGTTGCATTTGAGACCTGCGTACATCCAGGATGTTTCCCTGCCAGAGGATGCTGCTTCCTGAGAAACCTCTTCCTGTTCTGAGCTGTGGTTGGGAAGGCACTTGATGGAGCAGCTTCGCTGAAGCTAAGCAGACCTGGTTGGAGAGACCACTGGGGAGTTCTCAGAAGGCCGGCTGTCAGTGGACGAGGGGAGAAAAGTGTGTGTGTGTGGAGGGGGAACTGTCTGTAATATGCGAATAAATAACAAAACATGGCAAAGCACCGTTGTGCGTATAGAAAGTCCCAGGTCTGGTCCTCAGCATCTCCAGTTAAAAAGATGAGGCAGGCAGGTGAAACGAAAGACCTTGAAGCAACTATCGAAATAATGCTAGATGCTGCCAAGACCACAATTGCTACTCTTTGGAAAGATATTAAAGCTCCAACAACAGAAAATTGGTTCCAAAAATTATGGAATCACTATTTAATGGATTCTGTTTCAAGCAAACTA